AGCAAGGTGGAATGATAATCAGTACAAAAGACTTACAAAACAGACTTACAAAAATGCATTTGCTTTAATTTAATAGTAACTTGAGTCTGCCCTCTTTCAGAAGAATTAGAAAGAATAGATGACAGAATCACCAAGGTAGGAAAAGACCTTCAAGATCATCTAGTCCAACCATCCACCTATCACCAATGGTTCTCACTAGACCATGTCCCTCAACACAAAATCCAAATGTTCCTTGAACCCCTTCAGGGTCAGTGACTCCATCATCTCCCTGGGCAAGATGTAAAATGTATTTAAAATTTGTCTGGGTAAAGTCCATTCTTTCATTTTGTAATTTTTTTATTATTATTGTTGATAGTCAGAGGCCATGACAGCAAGAGCAGTTGTGGGGAAAAAAATATGGAGATGGAGACTTCATGTCAGGAGTTGGAAAACCTGAACAAATGGATAGGAAAAAGCAAAGGGAAAACATAGGAGAAGAACACAGAAGATGTAGAGAACTGCAGATTATACAACGCCCCTTTAGTTCATGCTATTTTAGAAAGTGTTGGAACCCTGAGGGAAGCAATAAAAGGAATTAATTATAACAGGAAAGGCTTATTAATCAGTCCTTGGGGAAATTTATTTTTTTTTTTTTTTTTTTTTTTTTAAGGAGAAAGGGAAAAAATGTGGTTTGCAGAAATGTAACTTCATGGAAATACAATTAACCTAAGGAAATTACTGCTGCAGACTAGTCTATTCAAAAATTCTTTGCGGTAGAATAAAACGTTCTGTAAATAAGACAAGCTTTCCTGTTTAGTCTGGTACAGATAACATGGCTAAGATTACTTTTATCAGTCTTCAAAATGCAAAGTAATAAATATTCATCAGCTACATTTTTTGGAGATAATTCCTTCTGTAGCATCAGATAACACAATTAAACACAAAAATAAATGTTTTATACATATCTGGAGTCTTTGTCCACCTAGACAGCAGAATACTGGGCTTAGAGAAATTGGGGATGAGAAGACAGGTATCTTTGTGTCTATTTTCTTTTTTAATTTGTTTATGGCTCTATCTGTGTTGCAGGTGGTGGTGTTATTCACATATGAAAAAAAGTTTTGGAACGCTGAATGTTTTCTGCTCAAGACATTCAGAGGAGTTTATCTCTAATTTTAGACATTTGTTATCTGTTAGTATAAATCAGTACTTGCTCTCAAACTGTTGATGAAAACTGATAGACGGAGATACTCATGCAATTCTAACATATGTGTCTAAATTCAAACAATGTCTTTCAGAATATGCCTAAATTTCCCTGCGTGCTGTAAGGAAAGCCAGAGCTACTTCAGATATTTAATTTTTAGACAACAGGATTCTAAGGGAGACTAATCGTATCCATAAAGTCCCACAGAATCATAGGATCGCCAAGGTTGGAAAAGACCTACAGGACCCTACAGGGTCATCGTCAGTAGTCTACCTATCACCAATATTTCTTACTAAAACCACGTCCCTCAACATAATGTCTAAACATTTCCTTGAATGTCAGTGACTCCATCCTGTCCCTGGGCAGCCCATTCCAGCACCTGATCAGTCTTTCAGAAATTAATATGTCCTAATGTCCAGCCTGTCCAGTCTCCCGTGGTGCCACTCTGCCCCTGTAACGCTGCTTGGTGTTGCTGTGGCTAAAGTGCAGGACCTGATACTTGATCTTGTTGAACTGCATCCCATTGTCTTCAACCCAACGTGTCCCTTTCAATCAATGAATTCACTTTGAGGTGCTCTATAAGGGCAGAATTTTTTTTATGTAAAAGTGCATCAATTATTTTCCCCAATATCCCATCAGAAAGCTACTTTTGAGATACACTGCTTTTAAAATTTGCCATTTCTTGAATACAAGCTTAACTTGGGGGCCAGTTAATATTCACCCTGAAAGTTGTTTTATAAAATTTATTTAGGTGAACATAGATTCAGGTAAGCATCCAGTTGTGTTTTCTTTACAAGTTATAGTTCTTTACAGCTTCTCAGACACCACTTGGAAAATCTGATTTAAAAAAATAAAATTATTCAGGAACACAATAGGCTGTAATAAAGTGGATGTGGTAACATGGAAAGTATTACATTTGCATGCCAAGTTCGATCTCCAAGATGGGTGCCACTGTGCTACCAAAAATAAAGAAAAAAAGCAGCAGCTCAGTCTGGATAGACAAGCTATAAGAACATTTGGGATTGGGTGAATAGAGATTTCTGAAGGGTTGTACAGCAGACCTGCCAAAGAGATAAATTTACATACTAGATATTGTGAGTCACGAACTGACTACCCAACAGTCAAGACTACACTTATCTTCATACACACCAGTTACTTACTTTAGTTTCTTTACTCACCATCTCACTCCAATTTTTAGGAGAAAGAGGAGGTTCTTTGATATCTGTATACCTGCCATGAGATTAAGAAACAACGGATCAAATGTTGGTCTGACCAGTTTATTACAAATCTTAATTAGGGAGATAGGAAAGGATGGTGATTATTATGAATTAGGGTAATGGGGAAGGTAAGGGGGGGTGACAGAAAAGCTAGGAAAGAAGGAAGAATTGCATAAAGTGGGGACAGTCACCACTAGATCCAGCAGCAGTCCTGTTGCATGCTGTTCCAGTGGTCTAAGGCAAAAGCAACGGGGGAAAGCAGCAGCAGTGTGGCCAGCCTTGGGCAGCAAGCAGGTAGCAGGAAGAAGTGGCCGGGAAAGTCCAGGAGGGAGCAGCAGGTTGCAGGTGGCAGGCCAAGAAGGGAGTCTGTCAGCATGCAGGATCAGCTCATGAGGCTTCTGATGGCATACTCTTTTGTTCTTCTGCATGCAGGCATCATGTCACAAGGAATCTATTGTCAGAAACCTTTTGGGGGAGAGCAGCAGCAGCATGGCCGGGCTCAGGCAGCAAGCAGTTAGAGTGCAGAGCAAGTCCAGGAAGGAGAGAGGCAGGTTGTGAGGCTTCTCATGTCAGAATCTCCTCTTCTTCTTCATGAGGAATCTGTTGCCAGAAGCCTAATCTCATGGTTATAAGTTCCTTATTTATCCTTCTTCTGCCAACATGGCCTTCCTGGGTGCTTGGGTAAAAGTCATGTGCAGCAGCTCCTGAGATGGTCATCTTCCTTAAGATAAGCCCACACAAAAGACTGCTTCCTGGCCATTTATCTGAGGCTTCTCTCATTGCCCCTAGCATTGTCCATCTGTGTCCCTTAGGAAAAGGGGTTTGCAACCTTTGCCCAGGACTTGTCCATCTGTGTTCTCCAGACAAAGGATTTCTCAACCCTGGTCAAGAACTTGCTTGCACTTGCTCATCTGCAAGACAATGGCATAAAAGAATAATCTCTTACACTCACTCCATTTCTGTTCATCTTAATATTCGTATACACCATTTGCAGTCAAATTGCCAGGTTTGCTTTTTCTTCTCTGTTGTCCTCTACTGCTCCAAAGCATTTGTATCCCAGTAGAAGTCACCATCGTTGCCTTCTTTTGCTGCTTTAAAAGCTTAGACATATCGACACAAGTCCATTTGTAAACCAAGTAGTAGTTTATGTGACAAGGCTTCCACGCTGTACATCAAGTAGTTCCTCTAAGTGACAGATCCAGCACCAACACAGCGGCATTTCACCTGGCATCTGTATAAATTGGTGAAGGAAGATACAAGTACGTTATGGAGCATGATATTGAGGAAGCTAAATGATTTATATGCATGTGCACAATTACCTGCATTACTTGTATGGATAAACCAAAGTAAGATTAAATCATTTGTAGTTGTATTCTGATCACTGGTTGTCAGCAGGAACTTGAATTTAATCTTTTCCTTGCAAGGATACTCTAGAAGTTTGTTTCTTGTTTTTTTTTTTTTTTTTTTTTTTTTTTTTTACCATGACTCCAACAGAGCATGTAATCCATTAGTGCTGGGAAATAATTATTAGTGCTTGTGACAGCCATAATTCATACATTCTGTTAGGTTCCCAAACAGCTTCTCTAGGCATCCTGTTTACTCAGTAAACATATCATAAATAAATATTTATGTTCATACACTGCTTCTCTGACATTTATTCAACAGAAAAACATTTGAAATATCAGAAATTAAATAGAAAAGAAGAGGGATGTATGACTACACAAGATCAAGCACCGGTAACTTGACATACTCTCTCAACCACGGTAATGTTCTGCCTGTGATAATAAAAACTAAACCCTTGTCACTGAACCTGAAAGGAATAGAATGCACAACCCTAAATTTGTACTCTATGTGCAAAATACCTCTTAGAGCTTCTTGGAACTAACTAGCTATTGGTAATTCCACTTCTTAAAGTCAGTATAGTAAATCTGACATTGCTCAACTATTTGGCATAGCTTGCATTCCTGCCTGGCACAGTGCTGGTTATATGTGTAAATTTTGTGATCTAATTTAGTCTGTTGTGTTTGTTTTCTTCCTTTTTCGCTGGAGTTTGATAATTTTCTGCACAGCTTTCTCATTTTCCTTGCTAATGCTCTAACTCATGATGTCATGGTATCATTTTTTGTTGTTGTTGTTGCCATTTGAGATTTAGCCTTTCCATTTCCCTCTGGTACTGAGGAGTGTAAACAACAGGTCCTATCACCAGGATCTTCTGGAACCCACAGCAGTGAAAGCAGCTGACTATAGCAGCAAATTTCAAGGAGAGGCAAAACAATAGAGTAGAACAATGATGTAGAGAAGATAACACAACCCAATCAATGGTAATCACCAGGAAGAGTAAAAATATAAAAGCTGTAGGGGAGTGGTAGGAAAAATTCCATCTGTGCACAAAGGACATGCCTTTGTGTTGCACTAGTTTTCTTTTGTTTACAAAACATAGAGGAACTGTTAGGTCACAGCTTGAACTTGTGTTTGAGCACCTGATGAAGGGGTGTGACTACTTTAGGTGTAAAGGCAAATTGTTTGCCCCTTTGCTCCCCACATGACCAGAGAGGATGGACCCAGGGAGAAGCCAGCCTGGGCTCATATAAAGGTCAGCTGTTAGAGGAAGAGAATCTCTTGGGCTTCAGCTGTTTCCTGTGTTCTATATCTCCAAGGTTTTCCTTCAACTGTTGGGTGAGGTGGGTTGGTTTTTTTGGTTTTTTTTTTTTTTTTTTTTATGGGGGGGGGTTATAACTATTGGTCTACCTTTGAATACCTGCTATCACCAAGAACACAATAAAAGCAATTTTGTTTCTTCGTAAGCGGGACATAAGCTTATTTTTAATGTTAAGCTCTATTAATTAGACTTGCAAAACAAGAGTATTCATTAAATAGGTTTCTATAGCTACCTGCTTTTAACCCTTTATTTTGGCTGCCATTACCATATATCTGGCTCAGAAAAGGAAGGTCAAATAGTACATCATCTGAACACAGTTTGAGTGGGATAAAGGTCATGTTTTGAAACTGTTCTAGAAATGCATGCTCTGCTCCATTTTAAACCTAAACCAATTCTGAGGCCAGATCTTTAAAGGTCAAAATAGTCCTGATTTTTTCAGATTATGCCTTTTTAAATGGGTACTGAGAAATGACAAACAAGGGGTGACTTATGAGTTATGCTATGTCCTAATGCAGGTAGTAGCTGAGGCATGAAGTACTTTCAGAAGCTGACCCTGCTTCTACCTGATCCTGAGTGCCTAAATGGAATCGTTGTTCCATCTATGAGTTCTGTTATCTAAAGATAACTATAATTAAGCTTATTGCCCATTGCATGGAGCTAAGTCCCATTTGTTAAAGCCCTGAACCTGCTCAGTGATGATGCACTTAAATAATGCTTCTGAAAAGTGGACTCCTGATGTTTTTATAGATATGAAGACCCTATGTTATCCACATGTGGAGGGAAAAAAAAAAAATCAGTGTGATTAATTACAAAAGAGAGAGATAAGCAGTAATGGAAAAGATGGAAGGTTTTAATCTTCAGCTTCTTCACAATCTGATTTCTTTGGCACACTGATCAAAATAGATTATTCTTCTATATCAAGTAAAATATCACTTTCTCTCAGGAGGAATGCTGTATTGACTGAGATGTATCACTCTACTTCAAGGACATCACAGACAGGAATCCTCATTGCTATATGAATTTGATGTTACTGAATGAAAGCCAGTGAAATGTATTGAGAATAGCAGTACCTCTGAGTATGTTTCGCTATTAGGGAATGGGTGCTATATACACCCATATCCATGCAGGATGAGATCTGAAGTGGTTTCAACTGGGTCTATTTACTATTCCACTCATAAGCCTGAGCTTTAATGGTTTTGAATATATTGTTCAGTTTTAGTTGTAGCTTTGCAAGATATTTCAGCAATTAGAGCTAAATGCTGCATTAAATTTGCTTGCCTTCCTTGGAAATATTCTGATATTGGTATTTGTAGGAGACTCTATGCAATTAACTCCTTATTTTCTTGAAAATCCCAGTGGGTACATATCTGCATATTCTGGTACTTCAGTAACTGTATGAGCCTGTATAATAATTGAATTTTATTAAGTTGAAGGAACTTGATTTGGGTAGACTATGAGTCTCAAGTGCTCAGCATGAATCACTAATAACTTTTATTAGTTGACTAGATGTTACATTCTTTTCTGTCTTCCAGCCCAGGTTTATAAAATTGAAAGATTGGAAGTGGGTACTGCTGAAACGATATCAACTAGTATGTTACTCACAATCCTTTAGCAGATTTCACTGTGAATTACTGGGGAAGATTAGTGTTATGAATATTCACTGACGTAAGAGGTAACTAGTAAGTCCCTACAATAGTTACAAAAGAAGATATTTACACATTATGATAGTTGTGAATATTAGTTCTGGATCCTCGTAAATGTCTTCTATTTGTTGAATTAAGCTAAACTTACTCTGGTCTAGTATCTAAAAGGTTCTTCTGCAAAAACTTTTCCAGTACTTGGGAGTAACAAAATGAGACTGAATAAGGAGGAGTTACCAATCTTGATTCTCCCATTATAGGGTAACCAGGGCTGGATTTCAAGAGCATCTTCATGGTGTTTATAGTTAACTGGCCAGCTGAGATCTCTGGAGCATTACAAATGATAAACACAGCATGAAATGGTTTTAATTGGCATATTCTTTTACTTAAACATATTCAGTTAGATGTGAACATGACAGATTTTCTAAGACACACTGTTTAACTGTAGGTTTGTAGGTTGTAGAAATTGTAGGTTTGGCATTAAATTTTAGTCACAAATAGTGAGAAACTAGGAGGCCATGTTTTTCTGTGACAATTCTTGATGTCCATGGATATGTTGTGTTGCACAGTTTAGTAATTACGCATGTTTTGTTAAATGCCTGACTCAGTCTTAGTTTTATTTTATTTTTTCCAGATAAAATCAGATGTCTTTACTTTTCAACACATTTTGAGTCATTTCTTTGACTAAATGTTTCAGTTAGGGAATTCTGCTGTCATTTTCACAATTCTGATAGATTATCTTCTTGCAAGAATTGATTTTTAGAAAGCAGCTTGATATTTTACTGATTTTTATGTATTTGTTTAGATCTCACTTTGTGGAGAACCACACTCACTCTCTGTGGAAAACCAACAAAACAAAAACCTGGAAATAGAATAATTTCTTTAGTTTTCTGTTAAGAGGCTTATAATAACTACTGTCACTTTGAGTCCTATGAGAAAATACATATTTCCAAATCTTCAAGAGCCTTACCAGCCTGAAATTCTACACTTTTCTAAGATTTGGAACAAAAATAATACTGTGCTAATACTTGGAATGTGTAAATAGAAATGAGGCACTTAGTGATAGTTCTATCAGTCTGTTTTTGTTCCTAAGAAAAATAGTGGAGTGGTTCAATATGGACGCAGTTTAGTCAAGGGAGGTCATAAAAAATAAGTAAACGAAAGAAAATTACAAGTTTTATTATACCAGTGGATGGCAATTGTAAGTATATGGAGATTGCTTTGAAAGTAATGCTTCCTATTTATTTCTCTTGAAACTGTAACAGATATAAAGAGCACAATAATGCTATCAGATAGGGAAAAATTCTCAGCTGCAAAACATAATTTTTCAACATAATTACTACTAGTAACTATGCATTTTTACCAGGAATGAACAAGAGCCTGCATGCTGTGCTTAAAGAAATCTGTGTGGCTGTCAAGAATGTGGCTTGTCTTTAACATTGTTGTTGTCACTGCTGAAACACACCACGTGCTTCCTCTCTGAGCTCACATCCACTGTTTAGTCTCCATCAATGTTCAACAAGAGTCACTGAATGTCAGTGGCTGCAATTCTGCATTTTTTTTTCACATTGAGGAATTCAGTTCCACACTGTTGCTTCATCCACACTTCTATGTCAGATGCCATTTGACAAACTGCCCCTCTTTTGCCATCTGTCACATGGTGTGCACTGTTACACGAAGTGTAACAATATTTGTGGGAAAGATCCTCTTCTACTGCTGTATCACCAACATCTGCCTCTGATACTATGGGCCAACATAATAAAATGGGAGGCATTACATTTGGAGCTTTCTCGTATTTCAATTTTAGGGAGATATTTTATTAAACTAATTTGGTCTGTTAAATACTGAAAACATTTAATTCGTTAAAATTGATGGGTTTACTGTTTTCTTTTAAGATATGTTTGTAGATCATCACCTCTGGAAAAGTAGATGATTATCACCTTTTCTGGAAGGACTAGACCTTGATCTTAAAGAGGTAAGCATTCCTACTTCTGAACTGATAGAACAGAGATATTACTAATTAACTGTGCAACTGAAATCAGTGGTGTAGTGAATTCCAAGCTAAGAGTGAGCTAAACCGTCTGGGAAAGCTGCAGAACAGGAGTAGTATGAAAAGGAGATGAATAGATTAGATGGATAGACAAGGGGGGGGAAAAAAGGCAGTTATGTTGAAGTACTGCTGGAGAAACTCTATTAGACTGCCACATCAAAACCCCATCACCCACTCCAAATGTTGAAATCTCTGAGTTGCTTCCTCTTCCTTCCTGTGGGCTGGGGAGCTCAGACACGATTCCTGGTTCTGCTGGGTGGTCTAAGCTCCCTGAGCTGACATGGCAGCCTGGATGGTCAGCAAGGACTGGACCAGGTGTCTGGCTGGCCTCTGGCATCACATCAACAAAAAAAAGTCCACTGCTCTCTCCTTGCTAAACTTTCTCCTTCATCTGAGGATTTGTTTATTTCCAAGGAGAATGAAGGGCGTTTTCTGAAGTTCTGCTTTACAGATCTTTTTCTTAACTGTATTTTTCATGTGAATTCCACTGTAGGTTTAAAACATGTTTCAGTGAATTTTGGAGAAAAGGAGACAAAAGTATAAAAGATATTCAGTCTGCATTTAGCAATGAAGTGGCTGCAATACAGATGTTGTGCTTACTTTCAAGTCACGGTGCAAGGAAAGAATCTTTAGTAAAAACTTACAGAAAAATTCACAAGGGTGATTAAAAGACTGTAAAATAAATACTTCCATCAAGCTTTAGGAAGAGATGCATTAGGACATGTAATATTATCACAAAGTAATATTACCTATCAGTATTTGATAATATTGGCTTAAATACTTCTGGCAATAAACATTTTCAAAAGCAGAAGGTGGTATAAAAAAACTTTTGAGGATGAAAGAGAGATATTCAGAAATATGAAAAATGCTGATAAAGAGATTACAACCATTGAGAGATTCCTTTAAGTTATAGTCATGTTTTAATTTATATCTTTTTACCTTTGTGCACTCAGTCTTTATATATACAGTCATAGAAATGCAGAGAAGGACTTATTTAGGTTGGCAAAGGCCTTCAGGATCACCAAGTACAACCACCAACCTGAACTACTGAGTCCTGTCACTAGACCTTGTGCAGTGGGAGCTCTGATGTCTGCCCTGTTTTAGACCCTGAAAATAGTCATCGGAAAACAGCAGGTAACTATTCAGTTGAATTTCTTGAATGACTCATTTGGCAAAATGGATGAATATAAATTTCATGAATAAGCTATCCACCTGCACAGCAGTCATATTTATTCTGAAGTTGTATGGGCCAATTCACTAACTTTAATAACTTGTTTTTTAATATCCTCCAAGTTGTTCTCTAAATCTCAAAGGAATTTAAGTCTAACAGTTCTTAATATGGTAGGGGTGAAATAGAATAATTTTGATTGGTAAATGAATTACCTTATATCACTGTAGAAAATAGCACTTAGCCACTTAGGCAATACCAAGCATATGCAAATAATGATCTTAAATTCTGTTCTGCAGCAGTCTGAATCCAATAAACTGCATAAGGTGCAAAATTGTAGAGAGCTGAATTTGTATGAGTGGGCTGAGGGTTCTTCTACTAGTTACCAGTATACCACTACCTATTCTTTCCACTCCACTTCAGGAGAGTTCCAGCCATCACAGATTGAGTGCATCTTTGCTTTCTCACGCATCACATGACAACATGCATTGCACTTCAGGCTGCTCTGTAAAAAGTCTGTTTCCACCAAGTTTAATTTTTGTTCCAAAGGCAGGCATGCAAACTCTCTTAGCGGAGATGTTAAAATTTCCCTAGCAAACCCTGCTTATCCGAACACCAGTACACGTAAATTGAAAATTAACCTGCATTAAATATTTGAGTGCATTTCTTAGTATTAGTAACTCATATTCTACCTTTAATCCTTAGGTTAGAATAAAAAGGGATTCTTTTTAAATCATGAGGAAATTATAATTAATAATAACTGGAAATGCTAGATGACTTAAGGGGAGAAAATATTCCGCATTCTACTGGAAGATATACTCCCACTCCTGACCATTGCTGCAAAAAAACCCATGCCAAATGGCATAGAAGACATGCGTTTTGCTAGGATTTTTTCTTTAAAATATTTGGTTAAGTAGAAACACTTGTGGGTGTTTATGTCAGGAAAAATGTATAACTTGGATAGCTGCACAACCTGAATTTAATTTCCTTGGCTTTGAAAATTCCATGCCAGAAATATTAAGCCAAATGAGTGAAACATTCCATCAAAAACATTTCTTCAACAGAAATTTCAGATAGAATTGCAACATTTGTATGCATTAGAAGTTGTCTACCATGGCTTTATGAAGAAAGAGTTGAAAATACAAGAAGCTTGACACCAGGGTTCTTTTCTAAGCAAACAATTTAAAATGTATTTCTTTACTAGTTGCTCAAGTTTACTCATATCTCTACTTACTTGCAGTTATTCCTATATGTTGAAGTAATGCTTCCAGATTGCATCCATTTTAAACTTTCTCACTATAAATTCAAAAGTAATTGTTTTCAGTCTAATGGCAAACTTTTGAAACTGAAGATTATCTACATTATCTTCAGTAACAGTACTTTTGTCATTAATCTATTTGTCAAACTACATAAAAGTCTTTATGTAGTTTAAAAACAGCTTTTTAAAGCTTGAGAACTTCATTTACTGAAGCTTTAAGATATTATTCAAGCCTGATGTGATGCAGAGCCATACTTTCTACTTGCCTATAAGGGACCAGAGTTCACAAACCTAAACTCAAGTTTCCTATTAGGCAGACATACACTGTGATATCCCTGTTCCTGTCATCTAGGAATGAAACCCATTTACAAATAAGTTGTTGATTGTCTTAGTTTCACTTCCAAATAACAAAAGAGCGAAGAGCTGAAGTCTGCTCTTTGGATTTGGTTAGTCAGTAGACTAACCAAAATTTAAGTACATGTTATAGTATTGCATGGGAAAAAAAAGTGCAATAGTCTTTGTCATTAAAAACCTCATTAAAAGTCATATTTTCTGGTGAATAGGAAAATAATAATAATAATAATAAAGGAATAAATGAAGAAGTCGTGGTCACTGTAGATTGGTTTACTAGAGTTATTTGAAACATGTTCAGAGAGAATAGCATTGCCAAAAGAGAAGCCTTTTTATTGGCAATAGTCTTATGATCTTACATTGTTAGCGTCGCTCTACAGAAGCCCGTATGGGTCTATTTCATCCATTGTGCTTCACCAGAAATCTGTCTGATAAAGCAATTATCCAGAGAAAGTGAACTTCATGTGCAGCTGTATTGTTTCAGTACAGATAGAAACTTGCTGTGCTCAGGTAATTTCTGTCCTTAATTCCATCATCTCCCACGCAGGTTTTAGGAGACCACTCAGTCCAGTAATGATGTTTTGGCATAATATGATGAGTGGGGCCCTTACAGCAACATTTTTGCAGTATGTGTGTAATGTGTTTTTTTCACAATTTAAAAATAACAGCAAATACTGATAATCTGTACCTCATTTTTTTATCACTAATTTATTTTACAAGTATGATTGCTTAAGCATACATATGCATATTCAATATAAACAGAGATGGTTGAATGCATCTGCCAATATACATATATATTAATTGTTGTAATAATGTGGTAAATTAGTAAAAATTCAATTTAAAAGAAAGAAATATACAAAAATATTTAAAATGCTTGTGCCAGAACAAAATGACCTGCCAAAAAGCTTAGTCTCACAGCAAGTGAAAAGTAAATTTCTTCTGAAATTTGTGTTGTCACTGGATCAATATTAATGCTTGCTGACTAAAAATTATTTTTCCTATCCTAAGTAATGCCATTACAACAAAATTTTTGATTGCATTTGTAAAACATTAATAGTAAGTTGGTAATTTTCTGTGCTTTTCTGATCATTTATAAAAGAACATATGATCAACCTTTGTACTGAACTAATCAGAAATTCATAATATAAATGATTAGATTTTAATAAGTTCATTCAACAATCTATTTCTGAAGTTTGTTACAGATAATCTGTTGCTATATTAATGTAGCCTAGCAATAATTAACATTCAGCTTTCTGGCACTAATCACCGGAACCATGGATTCCTAGCATTTAAGGCAGCCCTTGGAAATAATGCGATAAAGCACTCAAGAGCGTTCAACCAATTAATGTGTTTGGATGAGTGAGCTTTCCAAGCCATTCAATTTTAAAAGCAAGTGCCTCACATCATGGAATTTTCTCCATGTGGAATTCCCCAGAATTCTGTCCCACTAAATGATAGAGAAGAAAACTGTAATCAGGATGTGTTTATCTGAGAGGATATTCTGCTGATCACTCAAAGACAATGGCTGCTGCTCCTAACAAACCATCAAAATGTCTCAGAGAAAGAGTATAGCTCTTGCTGTGAGTCTTTCTTTCTACGTGTTGATTACCATTAAGATGCCAACAAATGTAATGTGTAGATACTATCATTAGACTGCAAGCCTTACTAATCTTTGAGTGCTTTGTGATGTGAAGGGACTTTCAAAACTTTAATTATATAATTATAGTATTACCTTTGTGTGAGATGGAGAGGAAGATGCTCATGCTATCTTGCTTTCCTTATTTTATTTTTTTTAAGAGGGTCAGAATTTCCTGAAATGTCACATTCTTCCGAAAAATTACTGTAAAATATTCATGTTTCATTGAAAAAATATCCATGAGATTTAGGGGTAAAAATGAAATGTGACAAGATGCAAAGAGGAAAGAAAATTGCTGTTGGTTTCATGCAGTAAATACATGAATGTGTTTTTTCAGTGTCAGTTAAATTTGCTCAATTTTTTCTATGAAAATCTATTTTTTCAAAATCTTGATGCTAAGCACAACCTCCAAATGATAATATTTCTATACTAAAGCAGATTTTACCTCATATGACTGTCTCTACTGATTTATAAACTTGCTCTCTTTTAAACACTGACTGTATTGATATAAAATTAAGAAAATATTTTGCTATGTATTTAAATTCTAGGAAGTGCATAGTACTAAGCAGAAAGTCTAGATTAAAATGGTATTTTTGATTTTTTTATAAGATACTCAAAATAATTAATCTAGATTTAAAATTTTCTTTTTTTTTCTAACATATTTGAAAATCATTAATCTGCACTTGAATAGGAAAAATTGGTCCTGTAATACCTGATTAAAAGAGAATGAATAGTTTTAATGTAGATGATGAAACATCTTTGTTTATGCTTTGTATTGTTTTCTTAAAAATATTTATGTATGTATAAGCTGCTTAGATAGTGTTTATTCTAATTTTTGTATGAAATGTTTTGCAAGATGCTTTTCACAATGAAATTGATGTATGCGAAAGATGTTGACTTTCTTATATGTTTTAGTGTTTCTTAATTCTTTCTGTTCATTTATAGGATTTGTGAAACTTTCCTATTGTTCCTTTAAGAGTTCAGAAAGCATGAGGTCATATTCATATGAGCTTCTGATCCTCAACTGAAATGTAGCTATATATCATAAATTTCTAGTCTGCAAGGCCACATTCATCTCACTATATCCAGAATTTACTCTCATGTCCCAGATGCAGAATTCTTGGCTTTATCAGATGTTGGAGCAAGATTTGGGTGTCATTAAGTTCCACTCATTCTCACGTACATTCACTGTCATTAAAAAAATAAAAAATAAAAAGGGGGGGAGGATATTTGCAGGGGAGAGGAGTTGACGAATATGAAAACTTACATCTGGAAACTTACATCTAAACACAGCCCATAAGCCTATATGTCCACTTGTGGAATATAGTATATCAAAGGAAAAAAGGAGAGAGCAACACTGTAGGAAAGAGCAGAATGCCTCTTTTGCACTCAGTGACTGATTGGGCACTGGTGATGTTCACTCTGATCACTTTGACTGCAACTGATGTGAGGTAACTCCAAATATTTTCTTAAAGATAATCTAGTTGTGAAAGAAATACCTGAATGGAGTGAGAATATAAGATGCTAATATACAATAGACCTCTTGCCTTTTCAGAGGTAAGTTTAGTGATGGGAAGGTAGGAAGGGTTTCTTTCAGCTCCTGAAAACTGCAGTCTCCGTTAACCATAATACAAGAAGCTATCTGAGATCTAGGATGTCAAGAAAAATCTGTAGAATGTTTTCTCCTGTCCTGGTACTGAATCTCTGAAGAAGCCATCATACAACAGAAGGTAGGCAACCATGTGAAGAAACACAATTTTTCTTTTTAAGAAAAAAAGAGCTTCCTTCCAAATATTACAGAAAAAATACATTAGGGCATTCATAATGCTAAATTTCTATTTCATCACTAATCCTATCTACCTGAAAGACATTGACTGAGCACACACCACCTCATTCCAATAGTATTCCTACCTGGATTCCTGGAGGTATACCAGTCCTCTTGCCTTCCACATGATCTGTTTAGCAAGCCTGTTTCTGCATCTGATAATAGCCCTGAATGTTATAAGACATACTATTTTTCAAAAGTATTTTCAGTATAAGTCTTGCAGACCAGAAGGAGCATGTGGTACAAGGCTTATTCAGCTCCTGACAATGTTTTGATTAATTTCTGTCCCTTGTTTCTCTTTTGCACAAGAGCACACACATGGATCTGCTTTCCTACTTTAACCATCCCAATCAAAGCAATCCCTTTGATCAACAACACAAATTACAGTACATTGCATATTCTACAATTGAAAAGTCCAGTGTGCACTGTAGTTCGATATCCAAAGGGCATGTAAAATATTTCAAGTACAGATGAAAAGGAATGTTGTTTTTTGGCTGATTGGTAGTCTGGTGCTGTAGCATATTACTCCTCTACGTCTTTGGCTAATGTGGCTTCTGTAAACAGGCTGACTCATTGAGCTCCTGTAGGAAAACTCAACCTTTTTTTTCCACATTAGTTTCATCTGTTGGCTACTCAGAAATCTATCTTTATTTTCTTTATTTTCTAAATCACAAAATGGCTGTTGAGAAATTAAAATATGAACCATACAAGGAACAAAGGAAGCCTTCATTGTGTCTTGGGTTACAGAACCTCATTTCTCATTCCACTAGTTGTTTCTAGAGGATTTCATTGCTGTGGTGCTTAAGACAGAGATGAAGACATCCTCACAATCTAGCACTAATCCCTCTGGTGAGACAGGGAAGTTATGCTGTTTCCTTCACAGATGGGAAATCTGAGGATGTAAAGTGTAAGATCAGCATGAACCTTCTTTTAGCTCTTTTTCTCTCTATGAGGTGTGCTGTGCTATGCAGGGGTGCCATATTAGCTCCTGTTTGGAACTCTAATTACTGATGTATCTGTAAGCCAGTTTTTCACTGCCCTGGAGCTGTTCAAGGCCAGGCTGAATGGAGCCTTGATCTGCCTCCATCTAAAGGGAGGTGTTTCTGCCTATGGCAGGGGGATTGGAACTAGATGAACTTAATGATCCCTACCAACACAAACTATTCCGTGATTCCATAAGTTCATTCCTACTCAGCTGTCAAGTAGCAATTAATCCTTTTGAGGGCCTTCTGAAAATCAAGGAAATGGTTCTCATATTCTGTTCAGTTTTCTCCAAGTCATTTGAAGCTTCCTTTTATGCTGGTATTTTGTATTTTAATTATCATTCGGTGAGGATTTTTGGCTTTAACTTTCTGTTTGTGTTTAATAATCCTGTGCTTTATTTCTTTTTCACACATTTTAAACTTTACAGTCACAGATGGTCCCCTCATACATAAAGTTAAACACAGAAAACAGCCTACTTGAATAAAGGACATACATAATTGTTTGTAGGATCAGGGCTTAGTGAGCACATCATAAATCCAAACAGGCACTTGCCAATGGAACCTGATGGGCAGTCACATAAGTTGGCACATAAGGAGCCCTCAGAAACTCCTTTCTTACTTCTTGGGAGTTGTTCCACATCCCAAGGCACGCACCTGTTTCCTTTAAAAAAAAATAAGAAGAAAACAGACATTACTTCCTATGTTTGTATTTCTCATACTGGGCTGGAGAGTGAATTCAGAGGCACAAATGATAGAAGCCAGATGCACAGAGGTTATTTTAGTTGTGGGCATCAGCATGCAAAGCAAGACTGGACACTGACTCTCAGAATTAAATACTTTCCTTTTCTTTTCCCAGGAAACAAACAGGACAGGAAAAAATGGCCACAAATTGTGCCAGAGTAGTTTTAGATTATACATAAGGAAGAAGTTCTTCTCTCAGAGCATAGTCAGGCACTGGAATGGCCTGCCTAGGGAGGTGGTGGGGTTGCTGTCCCTGGCGTCTAGATGAGGAACTACGAGATATGGTTTAGTGCTTGTGGTAGCAATGGTAGCGGGAGGGCAGTTGGACTAGATCATCTTGCAGTTCCTTTCCAACTTTATGATTCTATGATTGTTGGGGTACTTAAAAGAGAATAAATAGGGAAATAATGTTCTCAGTGTAAATACTTTTGGAGTTGTTGTTTCATTCATCTGGGAAGGATTAGGATAAAACACAGCACAAAAAAAGGTCTAACACTTTTTTTTTTTCTGTTTTCCTAATCCGTTTCTAACCCTTGAGCTCTTACATGGGGCCTGCTGGCACATCTGAATGCCATTGCCTGGTTAGCTTTAGGAGTGTGATTTCATGAGGGCACTGAGGTTCACAGAGACCTTGCATACTGGCAGCAGGATGTGTCCTTATTGGGCTTTATATTTGCTCATGATTGAGGAATAAACAACTGTGAAGATAAAATGTCGGCATATTCACCTTTTACTGAACATATTTTCATGTTTCACCAAGCCTTCATAAGCATTTTGGTACAGAAACAGCTCTGTTTATTGGAGGTGCTTGTTCTCCAAGCTCTTGGGACTGTGCCCAGTTGCAATCACAGCAGTGTTATTGCAGTTCCTTCCTGTCCCTTTGATGTACCATTCGCTTTTTAAATTCCTGCTGCTTTCACTCATTTTTCTCTGTGTGCTTTTTGGCTGAGTTTCTGAAGGTACTGGGCCTCTGTTAGGGACAAAGCTTTAACAGGGAGGGCATGTTTCTCCCACCTCACTTTTTCACTAACTCTTAAATGGCTGATTAATTTATTAGCATGCACAACCTCTGGATGCACAGTGTGGACTATATCTCATACAGTCTCCCATATTTAATGCTTAAATAAATCAACTTTAATAAGACAGTGAACTTTTTTTTTTTCCACCTTCTCTGCTTTCTCCCCTCAAATTGCTGCAGGAGTTTAAGGAGTTGACTGCCGTAGAGGAGGGATTTGGTGCCTTGCAGGACCAAGCTACTAAATGTCAAATACCTTGCAGCAAATACCGTAAAAATACAACTATTAGCAAAACTGCAGGGAATATTCATATTCAGCTTCATGGTCCAAAGAGAAAAAGATGTGAATGGCAAACCTGGCACCAGCACTGAACATACATGGGTGATTCAAAACTCTTTGACTTATTTCATCCAATGCAGTCATCATGATTTGTTTTTTAAAAATATTTTATTGTAAAGTTTCAGAGTTTGCACAGGAATGTTAAGATCATTACCATGTCAGAGAACAATTGGCATTTCTCCATAGAAGGAGGGAGGGTAAGGGTAGAAAAAAACGATCTTAAAAGGATATCAGATCTATTATTTTTCTCCTAAAGTTGCCATAGTTAAATTTAGCTGAAGATGTACTCTAGACCTGTTCTAAGTACCATATTTTGATACATGTTTTTCTTTTAAACCATATTTTTTTCTCTTTTTTTTTTCATAAATACAGTATATAGGAACTTGGGATTTCAAAATTTAATTGAAACTTATTGAAAACTAAGAGTAGAATTGAAGGAAAGGTGCAAAAGTTGTGGTGTAAGGACTGAATATGCCTCTTGATCTGAGGTGTGTTCTTCAGCAAGCAACTTACCTTCAAGGTTTGTAAAATGGAAACAGCACTAATTTCCTTGCATTTTATCCTATAAGGTCCTATTCCACATTCTTACTTCAGTCAGGTCCAGCAACAGGAATATCAAAGTTCATTTCAGGAAAGACTGGACAAATTTTGCCCTCAAACCTTATGCATTTCTGTGAGAGGAGGAAGGTGGCACAAGACACATCATTAGTCTGACCTTTATATTCATGCTGAGCTAATCATCATAGTACCAGAGCACTTTCTCTAAGTAAGATTTAAAC